TGTGAAAATGTTTCTGAGTGAAAGAGACAGACATGGAGATACTAAACTGTCTGTTGACTAGGAGAGAGTTGCTCTGACTGGAGGAGACTCTTTAGACTGAGCACAGAAACACTAAGGAATCAGAACGGATCCAGAATCCAGGATAAAGAGGTTCAGTGAATGTGGTGTTGAAGGTGAAGAGGTGGATCAGTGAGTCAGATGAGACTCTGTAGAAGGACAGAATGCCAGCAGGACAGTCCACATACACTGCTACTCTGTTAGAGACAGAGAAGGAGGAGGAGGAGGAGGAAGATGGTTTCTCCTTATTGTGCCAGACAGAGAAAGCTTTACCATCAGAGCAGCTCAGACTCCAGGAATGATCATTGTATCCAAACACACCGTCTCCACTGTTTCCTTTCCTCCTGATTCTTCTGTAACTCACTGATATATAAACTTCTCCTCTCCACTCAACCTCCCAGTAACAGCGACCAGTCAGACCATCACTACACAGCAGCTGAGGCCAGTAATCAAATCTGTCTGGATGATCAGGATACGACTGAAGCTCCTCCACATATGTCACATTCCTGTTGTCTTCAGACAGTTTCAATTTTCTGCTCACTGTATTTGTGTCGATTGTGAGCTGACAGGAATCTGATGGAGAGAACAAACACAATCCAGCTGCAATTATTGATCATTTATTGACACTTTGATGATGACTCCTGAAAAAAGTTTTTAAGTAATGAAGTACAAATACTTCTAACACTTTTTAGGTATCTATACCAGAGGTCACGGATTAGTGGACCGCAGTCCAGATCCGGACCCACCTGCTGGCTAATCTGGACCCAACCTAATTTAAAGCATTTATAAATCACTCCATGTTGTCCGGTTACCCTGAAATACCACATCCTCCATCTCTGCCCAGCAGCATCTCCGTCCAGACTGCCTGTGCAAAGCAAAGCTTACAGCGTTCGCTGTTCCCCCCGTATTTCTGCGCTCCGACTCATCCTCTGAGCTTTAACACTAAATATTTAATTCGTAGGAGCAAAACATGCAGAAATTAACACTTTATTTAATATGACATATTAAAAAAAATCCCCATCAGCATCCAGCAGATGTGCAGTTTCTGGTGGAGATGAGAAATCTGCTTCCTGGTCTGTTGAAATACCAATATTTTGCATTTAATAATTTAAATAAATGGTGTTAGATTTTTGAAATGTATAAGAATTATGCTCTAATTTG